AAAAAATGGAATTTTGGTCTGTAGCACCTACACCAAACACCCTGTATATTTAAAAATTATATCAAAATATAGCTCTCATGAACTCCTAAAAATTTTGTATGAAATATTTTTGTGTATCTCCTTCAACAAACCAGATATTGCCTGTCACATAAAATGTGGGACACCCCGCAGATCAACTCCTCACTAGATATAGGAAAATGCACCATGGTCCGTCAACAAGCATTGTCAACCCCCAGTAGCATAGCACATACCATGTACAAAACTACATCAGACTCTTTAGCATATATGAGCCAGAGGGTGGGGAATGAATGAATCCGAAAAATTCAATGTCACTATCTCCATTCGGGTTTGAAGGCCGTCGTAGTTTGAAACTGCATCCTGACGTTTCGCCAGCTGGCTTCTTTAAAGGTGTATTCATCTTGATGATTCACCGAGTCATCAGTAAATCCTCTGAAGAAGCCAGCTACTCGTGCTGGCAATGCAGTTCCAAACTATGTCGGCCTTCATACCCGAATGGAGATAGTAACACTGAAAATTTGGGCCGCGAAAGCCCTAACCAATTTATTCAATACATTCGTTACTTTTCATTACCACAACGGATTTAATATCCCCGGAGTATAGGGTGTGAAATTATTATATCATGAGAGTACCTGAAAAATAACTAGTCCGCCATTTAGATTCAGAGTGAGTCATTTTATTTTTCGTATTTTTTTAGCTAACCCTTCCATTCGAAACCGTTATCAGGGAAAGTATAATAGACATAGTCCACCATATTTGTTAGTCCGCCATATCGATCTTTATTTTTTGTAATATTTTCAAAAAACTCCCAGTTAATAGCCATGTAGAAGATGTGCATTAAGAATAACTAGTTCTACATTTTGAGCGGTTCGCTATATTGGATACTGGCGACATACTCCAGCTCCCCACGGGTGCAATGCTGATACTAAATATTAATTCATCCACCGGAAATTTAAAGGCACGGAGAAATGATATTTTGTTTTATGGATGCGCCTTTTTTCCCCGCGGCTGGCGCCCCAGTTGGAATATTGAAAAATCCGTTCTTTTTGCACATCTATAATAAAAAACGAACCCACATGCAAAATTTAAACCTCCGAAAATAAATCGGTATGGATGAACAGTGATAAAAAGGGAACTTAATTTTATGAACGCAACTTTTTTCACCGCGGCTGGCTCCCCAGTAGGAACATTCGAAATTCCTTTTTATTGCACATCTACAACATAAAACAAACCTTCCTTCATACAAAATTTCAGGTTCCGCAAATATAAAGGTACGGAAAAACGTTGAAGTAAAGGTAATATTCATATGTAAACGTGCCTTTTCATCCCCAGGGATGGCTCCCCAGTTGGAATATTCAAAAATCGTTTCTTATTGCACTTCTGCAACATAAAACGAACCTACATACAGAATTTCAGCCTTCGAAAATATAGCGGTACGGAGAAACAGTGATGAAAAAAGGTAATTTTCATATATAAACACGTCCTTTTTATCCCCAGGGGAAAGCTCTCCAGTTAGAATATTGAGAAATCCTCTCTTATTGCGAACCTACATACAAAATTTCAGCTTCCGAAAATGTAGCGGCACGGAGGAACAGTGATGGAAAGGTAATTTTCATATATAAACACGCCATTTTCATCCCCAAGGGAAAGCTCTCCGATTAGAATATTGAAAAATCCTCTCTTATTGCACATCAACAACATGAAACGGACTTACCTAGAAAATTTCAGCCTTCTAAAATATAGCGGTACGGAGAAACAGTAATGAAAAGGGAATTTTCATACGTAAACAAGTCTCTTTCATCCTGACGGGGGGCTCCCCAGTTGAAATATATGAAAATCCTTCCTTAATGCGCATCTAAGACCTGAGAGGCACCTATATACCAAATTTTAGCTTCCTAGGACTCACCAGAGATAAATGAGTGAGTGTTAACTTAGCGACTTTCGCATTTATTAGTATAGATATAATGGCGGCATTCTCATTATTTTCAACTCAAACTTTTTGATTAAATCAATGGCCTGATTTCATTTTATGCATAAAAGTTCGTTGTCTTGTTGAAAAATTATATATTTCTAACAAAAAGTACACTTTTCAAACCTTCTGATTTTTCCTCAGGTACTTTGTACAAGGAAAAGACTCCAATCAGGAAGTCCAATATTTTGCAGATGATTGGGGATATCATCCCGCCGTAGAATATAGCAGTGTAGGTCCCTATAGCAGATCCAGCGCACAATTCGCTCTGGATCATGAGGCAGTACAACAATTAAAAAATAAAAAGGTGAGTCATGTACTTGTTCGATATTGATCGAATCTACAAAAAAAGTTACTTTTTCAATTATGAAATAAATTACGAGCTAATGGTTATCACGTTATGTGAAGACAAATTTCATTCGTAGAAAAAAATGACTGACACGATGGTTAGGTGATGTAATGTCGGTTCATCTAAGTTGGATTATACGAATTCATTTACTGAATAAAACTTACTTTACTTGAAATCAGAAACTGAAACTGAACATTTGAAAAAGATAACACTTGTATTGAAGAACTTCCTACACCTGCAGAAATTCACAGTATCTTTCACAAAAAAAAGTTATTCATTAGTATTCAACAGTTTTGTCTATCAAAAATGAGCTAAAAAGTTATACAGATACTTATCTTGATTGTATTATACTTTTCAACGGTAATTATCAAGAAGTATATCTTTTATTAGATTTTATTAACTCCTTACATCCTTCTACAAGATTCACTATGGAATTAGCAGAAGATAATAATTCTCTTCCTCTCTTATATTTATTGATCAACATTAATGTTTCCAAACTTGAATTTTCAATCAATAGAAAACCTACACATACCGATTCAGTAATTCTCTTGTCATGTTGCTACCCGCATTCCTATAAATTTGCAGCATTTGATTATTTATTCTAATGATTATTTAATATTCCCATGTCACCTGAAAATTTCGATATATTGTTGAATATTATTAGACAAATAGGTCATAATAATGTATTTCCTGCTTATCTAAACAGAACAGAACAGAACTAAATTTCTCAATCGTAGTTTAGTTTCCACCAACAACTTCAATAAATATTGTTCTATTCCCTATTTGGGTAAAGTTTCACAAGATATTTCAAATATTGTCAGAAAGTACTGTAATAGCATTAATTTTTCATTTTATACTGTGTACATTTTATATAGAATTTCGTTTTCACAAACAAATTGTTCTTTTCAGAATGTCGGACAAAGTGGTAGAAAAATTAAAACAAGAGTTCTTGAACATGTTAAACTAATTGACAATTTCAGAAATCTACAATTAAATGATTATAACACTAAAAGTTCTTTCTCTAATAACATTCTTAATAACAACCGTAGTTTTGATATTGATTCTGATTTACATATTTTACACGTTTGCCAAAAAAGCACTTCACTTAATTTACTTGAAATTTTTGAAATCAACTCTACTATTAATAACCCAACTGTTATATCTGTCAATAAACAAGTACAGTTTGATTGACAAGTTTTTTAATTCCCTTCATGTTAACTAAATTTCCCCTGCCTTGATCTTCCATAAACCTTTATTTTTGTAACAAGATCGCATGTATAGATGGTATGGAATCTGTTTGCTCAGAACACGAGCCGATATGTATGCGGTGGTCGTTCTCCTGTTGTGTTCTGTGTTTGCAAATCTCTAGTTGTCAACTTTTATCTTTTTATATATTTTTGACAGTTGATTCTCTCTTCTCTCAATTCAGTTCGGATATCTTTCATTATAAGTCGTTTTCATGTACCGTTCGATGATTTTGATATTAATGAGTGGGTATAAAAGCTCCAAGCCTCCCATAGTTCAATCTTTTACAGATATGATGTTATGAACTTCCGTCGTTTCTACTACAAAAAAAAATCATTATTATTAACATATCATTGTGACCATTAGTTCATTGGTAACACGTGACAATTTTCTTTTCTCCATCATAAAATATTTTTTTCTTCATGTAGGTATTTTATACTTCATTGTGTTAACTATTAATATGTTGTTCTTCTTTTACTGTAGAATTTTAAATAATCAGCTGATGATGAACCTATATAGGTTCGAAACATGTACTGATTGATGGTTTTACCATTTTAACTTCTGAGGGGGAAAATAAATTGTGGAGGCGACTTGGTGTTTTCAGTCTTAGTGAAAAGACAAAATTCATTTTCTCTTTCTTAAAATATTATTATTATTATTTTCCAGATGATACATAGGTTTATTTATTTCCCTGCAAAATACAATCAGTAGTTTTTTTGTTATCTTCTTTGTTGATTCAAATGGTGATCATCTGAAAAAAATGATCAATTAACCATATTATCAAATTTTGGAAATAGTTTTACATATATGTGAATAACAATTTTTGAGAATTCCAAATAACCCATAATCTAAAATATTCACTGGAAAAGATCAATGCGTACAGCATCACGAAAGTGAATTTGAAGAAAGTAAATTTCTACATTGAAGTCTTCACCGACATGCTGGAAATAGAGCAACTACGAATATGTTGAATAACGTTTCTATTAACATTCTAATGTCTTCAACGCAGATTCTCTAAGTGAAACTGATTATTTATGGTTAACTTCTTTTTGTCACCTGAGAACTTGTTTGAACGAACATGCCACAAACTTTTGCTCTCATTCAGTCAACGTCTTAAAGTATTATTTTGTTTTAATTCCATATTCTGCTGAAGATGGTAAAACTTTTGGTAATAGTCGGGTACATTGATTTATTGTTAATATTTTTATCAAAATAACGGAGTATAGATGTGTAGAGTAGAGATGTGATTGTGCCTATTCTGGATTCATTTTACGTATTCAGCATTGCATAACTGCGTCAATATTTTCTGTAAATCGCAATCAATCCACCTGCCGAATCTTGGAATAGAGGCTAATTGCAAAACATTTTTATTCTGTGAAAATAATCTAAAAATCTGACAGTCATCAGCGTCTCTGATGACAGGGACGATTCCTACAAATTCAGGTGACTATATATCAATTTGTTGCAAACAAGTAAAAATAATAAAAAGTGTTCATTCACACTAATGAAAAAAAAAACATACATTGATGTGTAAGGGCGGAATTCAGTCAGCCCTATCACCTGCTACTGGTAGCTGCTCTTCCATTCAACCCAAAAGTGAAATTTCAAAAAGGAAAGAGAAATTTAGAAGAAAATTCACCTTACATTATTTATATGACTGAGGATAACAACGTTAACATTGATAATAATTATTAACGACAAAAATAAAGATATTGGTAATATCAATAACCAGGCAGGCATAAAATTAAAGATAATTCTCTAAAGATACTGATGATTTTCATATTCTGACACCAAAGTCAGTGTTAAAACAAAACCGTTCTCTTTTATATTTTCAGGAAACAACGTCCGAAATAAAAAACTTTAGAATTTCACCATTGATACAAATTGCAACTATCAACATTCCAGTGACACACATTATAGTGCACTGATTCCTCTGCTTTCAAACTTCATCGACTTCCATCATACTATTGCCAATTTTTTTTTACTTGATGACTTCAGCGTTCACAACTGATATAGATTCCCAATGATGATCGATTATAAAAAAGTTAACAAATTATTCTATAAAAAATCGATGCAATCAATAAACCGATGTTTCAACCACAAACCATGATATATCAAAAATTGCAAACACGCTTCTCAAAATTCGACATCGCTCAAACATCTCGTGTGTGGCATGAGGGTTTGCTGGCAAAACTTTGATGCTATGGCTTGTTTATGGCTCACCAGCTTCCTGAGATAAAGTTCCCTGCAAGAGGCGTCGATGGATATATCTCGAATACGTTTACCATCAACTATGGTGTTCCTCAGGGATCTCCATATATTTTCGTCTAATTTGTTGAAAATTTTCGGTCCGAGATAAAGATGGCTTTTCTGGTAGAGGGCTGTTCGATGTGATCGAAGTACTAGCAAATTTCCAGAGCGAGTTGGATAATCATGAGTTTGCTTGTTCGATAAAAAACTTGATTTGTTATTATAAACAAAAAGACATATTTCATAAACATATATCCCAACAACTGTAAGAAGTTTCAGGTTTTTGAAAGAGCTCCTGCATGACTCTCTCCATCCAAGTTTAGCAATTATTCGAACTGCCGATTTTTGTAATATGAAAATCCTTTCTACGGACGATCCCGTACCCCAATTCAAATCGCAAATGACAATGAATAGTGGCAAAGTACAGACTCAACAAGATTTCAGCATTAAAGTAGTTAGACAAGAATCTCAACGCATAACAATTTTTACATAGCTTTTCACAAAGTGAGTCGGTATGTGGTGTCTTTAGAGGATTCTACATGAAAATCATCATCCTCATATATACTGAAAATCTCGGACTCATTTGTAACCATAGTAAATTTCATCAGCACAGTTTTAGTTATATTGAGTTTCAGGTGATTTTTATTTGCCCATGTTATAATTTGCTGGTATACCTTTCCAGTAAGAACTGATAGAGTGACCGAGTCTTTCTCTGTTAAAAGGAAATTTGTATCATCCGCATATGTTACCACGTGTACTGATGAAAGTTATTGAAAATAGTGGAACAAGTCATTCGCAACAATGATGCAGAAAAGTGGTCCGAGTATAGATCCTTGAGGGACACCTTGATCTATTTTTCGTGGTTCACTCACAGTGACGTCAACAATAACTCGTTGAATTCTGCCTTGCAGGTATGCTTTAATTAACTTGTGAGCAGCCCCTCTCACGCCATATCGTTCCAATTTCTGTAGCAGTATTTCATGGTTCACGGTGTCGAAAGCTCTTGAAAAATCTATAAATAAGCCACAAATGTGTAGTTTGCAATCAAGAGCATTTATAATGTGTTCACTGAAATCACATAGAGCTGTTTCTGTACTCTTATTCCTTTTGAATCCATGTTGGTTTGATGAGAGAATGTTATTCATAGAAAGGAAGGAAATTATTTGTTTTTTGATATTCAACTCAAATACTTTTGATACACTAGAGAGCAAACTAATGCCCCTATAGTTTTCATACAAATTTTTATCACCCTTTTTATAAATTGGTGCAACATTAGCAATTTTCAGTTTGTCAGGAAACATTCCATATTCTAGTGATAGGTTAATGATGTGATGCAGCGGATATGATAACTCATGAGCACATTTTTTTAGAAGCTTGTTTGAAATTTCATCATAACCACTTGCACCCGAGTTTTTTAGTGTTTTTATCAAATCAATTATGTCATATTTACTAATGGGGTGCAT